GGGCCACAGCTTTGTGCTGGACCCCCCCTTTATCCCCAGGCTGGGACGGTGACCCCCGCAGGGCTTGCAGACTGGGGGCAGCTCCTGACCGCTGCAGGGTTTCACATTTCAGGCCCACAGCCTGCACTAGGATCTCCCTCTGCTCTTCACGTGACATTCACGTCAAGCATAAATATTTCCCCGTTAGCACGGCTGGAAAACTTCTGCTGGAAGGAGAGGGTGGAAAGCAGAGACGGGGACATGTGATCCTTGTGGGACAAAGGTGCCATGACAGCTAAGGGGGGGGTTGGGGAGGGTTAGGAAGAGCTGCTGCCGTCCCTGAGCCGTCAGCCCCACCACCCACTCCTCTGCTCATTTCCAGCCCTGGAAGATCACAGCACAATGTAAAGAAAAGGATTTTTATTAAAAAAAAAAAAAAAAGAAAAACACACACCAAACCCAAACAGATGTGAAGGAAGCTCCACCAACTAGTGCCACCTCCTGGAGCAAATACAAGGTTTTAAAATGCAACTTTTGAACAAGGCACTTTCATTAAAAGAAAACATGGAAACAAAGCAGGACTGGACACCCAGAGCTCTCACATTCAGCCAGGAAGAGCCAACAGATTTCTGGCCTCAGAGCAAATAACTTTCTCCTAGGAAGGCAAAGCACAGAAGTATCTCTGTATTAAGATTTAAGATTGTAAATATTCTGAAACATTCAGCCCATCACTTGGCAGCTTGATGGACCGGTATCTCTGCTGGAAGTGGCAGTGAGATCTGCAGGAACCTCCCTCAGTATCATGGAGCTCATCTGGTTAACCCTGAAACCTCAGTGACACACCAGATAAAGCCTCTGATGGTAATATGCCTTTAAGTCAGCCTTGGCTCCAGTGGGGACCAGGGACTCCAGTTCCACTCCCATCCACTAAGAAACACAGATTTGTACAGCAGGACAGATTTGTACAGCAGGATGCAGGGGAGAGGGGAGAAGCAAGGCAGGCTATGTACAGCAGCTGAGCAGCTTCACCTGCAAGAATTCCCACCCCTTCACAAGGCCCTCAAAAAACATTCCAGAATAAAAACCAAACAAACTAACATGAAACTGTTTTCCTTTGCCTCAAGCCAGGCTGAGATCCCTTCCAAAAGCAGACAAGTCATTCAATTTGCTCTGGAATAAAACCCAAGTCTCTTAGAGTTAGGCCTTTTGTTCCTTGATTGACATCCAGAGGACAATCCTCAGGTCAGCAGAAGTTTCTCAGAAACCAGACAGCCCTTCCAACAGGGGCTGTTTGCACCCATCTGGCCCCAGAGCTGAAGCTCACAGTTCAGAGCGCTCTCCAATCAATGGGTTTCTTGCCGGACTTCTTTAGGAGCTCATTTGTCTTGGAGAAATGCCGACAGCCAAAAAACCCTCTGTTCACAGACAGAGGGGAAGGGTGAACCGTCTGCAGGACGTGGTGGCGTTTCTGTGAAGGGTGAAGGAAACAGCTCGTTAGATCTCTGCTCTTTCAGGGACAAGGTTGGCTGCTCCACGTCATTTAATTTCCTCTCTGGGTTTCCTCAGTCATCAGACCAAGAAAGGAGGGCTGGAGAATTCAGCCATAAAGGCAGAGACTTTTGTCCCACTGAGGACAGGCTGCACAGAAGCAGTAACACCCAGCCCATTTTTCAATTGCTGTTGTCCTAACAGCACTTATTCATGAGATTTTTCCTAGAAATACCAGCTCTGCCATCAGTTGGAGGCTCTTCTGACAACAGAACGTTACTCTTGCTCCACTTTTCTTGCTTAATTCTGGCAAAGACCAAGCTAAACAAAAGGGCAATCAAGTTTGGCAGCAGCAGAGTTCAAGCAGGGACTATAACACAACCCTGTAAAGAAAGCACCCTCTAGCGTCCACCCCGTAACTAAAAACATCAGTGAGCCACTGCACGACCCATACCCTGTCAATAGAGCTGCCCTTCTTCTGAGCATAAGCTCCCCACAGCATGAAAACAACACCGTGCAGGTTCTTGTTCAGCCAGGAGACCACCACATCTGTGAACTGCTCCCAACCCTTCTCCTTGTGGGATGTGGCCTGGTGGGCTCGCACCGTGAGGACAGCGTTGAGCAGGAGCACACCTAGCACACAAACAAAGCCACAGGTTAGCTGCCTTCTGCTTCCCTTGAGAATAAATAATGGGAATATTTTCATCCCAAGGTACTTGCTAGGGCACCCAGAATTGATTTTGCTTTACAGATAGGCTGTGCCTAATCACAGATCTGCTTTTTAGGATGCCTTACCCTGCTTGGCCCAGCCAGTCAGATCACCATGACCAGGATGGGTGAAGTCTTCAATATCAGTGGACAGTTCTTTGTAAATATTTTCCAGACTGAGATCATGGGAGAAAGACAAAAGATTATGAACTATGCACCTGGGACAGACAAACAATTTGGTATTTAGACCCTCAAACAAGCTAATGTATCCCAGATATATATATATATATATATATATATATACATATATATATATATATATATATATATATATTTTTTTTTATTAGACTTTTAGATTGGATACAAATAAGTTGTTTATGCTAGGGACAGTGAGGCACAGGGTGCCCAGAGAGCTGGTGCTGCCCCATCCCTGCACACAGCCACGGTCAGGGCACGGGGCTGTGGGTGTCCCTGTGCACTGCAGGCACTGGGAACAGACGGCCTTTGAGGGTCCAACTCAAACCCCTCTATGATCTGAGAGTTTTTGTCCAATTTCTATTTAAGTTTCTATTATCCCTCCTGGGTAAGTCACACCTTTGCCTTTCCATTCATTAATCGAGTCCTAATCATACAAGCACTTCTAGCAGCATTCAAGTATCAAAAACCCATTGCAGACAATCAGCACAAGACAGACCTGTGCCATTAAAGATACTCATTTATAGATACGAGCAGACAGCATCACTCACTGCTCTTCCCCTAAACAAGGACTGCACTGAGTCCCATCTAATCATTTAAAATAACACACTCGTTTGCAGCATTATCTTTAAGATGTCTCTCCTAGGCAAAGCACAGCTGTAACATCTCATCAATTATCTCACACACAGGTCTGAGTAACAGAACCAAAACTAATTTGTTCATGAAAGGAATTTTGTAAGATGGTTACTGCCATACCTGGGGGGAGGTGGAACAGGTTTCTGGACACTGAAACAGAGCCCATGAGCTTGATTAGGTCCGTGATAAGGATCTTGTCCCAAAATTACAACTTTTACCTGGAAGCAGACCGTAATTAGTATTGAATCATATTACTGTTCCGCAAAAAAATGGAAACAAAGGAAAAGCTTGCATACAGGCTCTATCCTAGAACAAATGCAGACAAAAAAAACAACCAGTAACCACCTTTCAATCACTGACACTATATGCAAGTTAAGAAACAGCCCCTACCAGACGCTAACACCACAGCTGTGCTGCCAAGATTATGGAAATGCTCTGAGTGCAAAACAAAGTTTACACAAATCCACAATCCACTTGATGAATGCTTCCAAAGAAGCTTTTTAAGTTTTGAATTCTATGCCACATTCACTGGGAAAATGATGGCCACACACACAGCTTATTAGCAAGGCATTACCTTAAACACTACCATACATATCTCTGTATTACAGTTCATTAGATAGGAGAAAATCCAAGATGCAGGAGACCCCAAACCAGGCCCCACCCTCCCACGAGTCCCACCCCTAAAGCACTTCATATCCAAACCACCCACATCCTACTCACATCCCTGATGTCACACATCTGTGTCCAGGTGAAGACCTGCTCCGGAGGCGGGTACACCGTGTGTTTCTTCCTCTCCTCGGCCACGAATGCCATCAGCTGCAGACAAAACAGGGGGATCAGCACAGGGGGATCAGCACAGGGGGATCAGCACAGGGGGATCAGCAC